GTACACATACACATGCAGGTAGCTTCAGAAGCCTACTACTATTTACATAAAGTAGGCTTTCAATAATTATTGCCTAGTAACACAAATTGCTCTACTTGTTATGTTGCAGTTTGTTTTGTTTTGTTTTTGCTGATATGCACAGACTGCTGGCCCTCTTCAGATAGGGTCCTCCAATGGTAGCATCAGGAATGTGCACAATGATTTGCAGGGGAGACGCTTTGCTGTTCTTCATGTGATCTGTTCTAATTAATTTCAAAATGAAAGGAAACACAACATGATATTGTACCTGCACAACTCAGGCAACTGATTAACTGAATGGTACCTGGATGAACCTTTTGAAGCTGTGAGTGTGAAGAATTGTTGTTCTTAATTCTCTAATCTCAGCAGGAATCTCCATTCCTGGCTGGATAAATTCCTTAAGAATACTTGGAATAGATCCCGGAATATTCAGATCATTCTGTTATTAAATGTCTGATTAGGCACTGAGTGTTGTGCTGCAGCAGGATCAAGTTTTGCAGAGATGGTATCACATGGGAGTGCAAGTTCCAGTCCTGGGTGGTACATTTCTAATCCAGGGATTTGCTGACCGGCCTTGTAAGGCAGTGGAGCATGACTCAAGTGGTTGGAATGCTGTACCCAGGCGGGAAATAAAGATGGAGCTCCTGGCTTCTGTTCTTAGCTTGCCCCAGACCTTGCCATTTGTGGCGATTTGAGAAGTGAACCAGAAGATATGGAAAATGCTTCCCGCTCCCTTTCTGTAACTCTACCTTTTAAATAAATAAGTAAAAATATTTTTAAGTCTATTTAATTTAGAATGCCCACATTAGGGCCTTCCTTAAGATACCTCTTAGCTATAGCCAAGGAAAGGGCAAAGGTCTTCACTTCACCAAAACTGAAGGTACAGGCCAACTGAGTCTCTTTGTATGAGTTGCCAATATGCTCCATTTTTTTGTGTGTTTGTTCACCTCGGTAGAGGGTACTGTAATAAATACAACACTCCCTATTTCTAAGAGGTATGCTCCTTTCCTCTTCCTGACATGGGAATGGAGTGGTGGGAGGAGAAATGATTCATTTGGGTCAGCATCTTAGTCTTTCACAAATCCTGAAGTCTTTGCCTTACAGACAGAAGACACAATAGAAATTGTCCATGGTTACAGCTTTGTTTGTTTGTTTGCTTGTACTTACTAAATCTGATCTTGGGATATGCTGTGGGCAGGGATGTATTCAAAATTTTTAACAAGCAGGAGTATCCACTGATAAGATTCTAGACTCAGAATAGGAACAAGATACTGCAGATCCTGTACAGCACTTCCCAGTTACTGGAAAGATCAAGGCAAATTGGGGATGCTGGCAATGTTGCCACAAGAGTGTTCAGGGAGTCATGGGTTTTGTATTAATATACTTTGATATTCAAATAACAAGACAGCTGTAATAATGCAAATCAGATGATTATTTCTCTTGCTTGTGGCAGCATTCAAGAAGATTCGAAACAAAGGTGTCTCCACTGTATTTGTGCCTGATGAGAGGCCATGCCAGGCCCTCCTGCCAATCTCTCTTCATGGCTGTCTACTGACTTTTATCTCACCAAGCTGAATTACTTCCCATTTATTCGCCTGACCCTTGGGAAATGCACATCTCTAAAAATCAAGATGTACAGTGTTGCAGACCACTCCAGACTCTCCTTGCTGCCAACTTCGTTAGCTCTTTTTTTGCCTAGTCAGATGGATGAAGGGTGCTACAATAAATGTGTCTGAAACAGTCCTTGCATCTCTCCAAAGAAGACATTTTGCACATACTTCTCCAGTTTTTAACAATGCATCTCTTAGAGCTGCCTTCACTTCTGTTGATAGATGGGAGGGGTAAAGAATGCAAAGCACTTCTGTCCTTTCTTCCCTGGGACAGAGAGGAAAACCAGAATCTTCTCAAAGATTGGAGAACTTAGGATATCCATCATGGGATGATGACTGGGGAGATTACAGTGAGGAATAGAGAAGGAACCCATGGAGCGGTATAGGAAATGATTGTTGGACTGCAAATGCCAAGAGAAGGATCTGGTCCAAACTAGAAATAGTTTCTTAGAGACTTTCCTTTTGGGAGATAAGAATTTAAAGTTATCTCTTCAGATTTCAGACAATTCCGGGCACCAGAGAAAATGTTGCTCCAACATCTACTCATGCTTATTTTAAAAAGCTTCAGAAATATGTGTGAGATTTCATTAAAGAAAAATGAGTTTGAAATTCATGTTGAATTAAAAATTTAAGAAGTCTATACTTGCGATTATTTAGAGATGCTAATATATCCACTGGGCATATATGTAGGTTTAATTAGAAACTGGAAAGAGCTTAGGATGTTCTTCCAAAACACATTTTTCTAGTATTATGATATAATATTCATGTGGTTCAAAAATAATGAAAAAAGATTTTCCTCAGAAATTATTTTTCATCAAAAGCATATATTTTTATTCATATAAGAAGCAAACTTGGTATAAGCTGATTTACTATTTTGGAATAGGCTTATTTCAGTCATTATACTCCTTTAAATTATGACACCAGCATTAAAACATCTGTTAAATCATAGCATCTGTTTCGTATTTTGGATGTATCGCTACAAATTAGAAAAGTGGTCTTTTTAATGAGCTCTGATCTAATAAGGAAGTCTTTCCAAAATAACAGATACCAAAGAAAGAACATGAGAAGACAAGTTCACTTTTTAGCACCCTCCCAGCAAAATATTTCTGAAGATCATATATCTTAAATAAAAGTTCTGCTAAATAAGGATATTTTATATTGAAAATCATTTTTACTATTTAGAGTTTGCTACGTCAGAATCCCTCTGTTTGTATATATTTGTGTGTGTGTTTGTGCCTGTGTGTAGACACATAAATTAACAAACAAAATTACATATCCAGAAAAGGCAGAGACAGACACTTGCATCATCCAGGAATAATCTTTTTTTTTTTTTTTTTTTTTTACAAAATATATTGTCTTGACATTCTATACAGCTATAAAGGTATAAGACAAACTCACAACATTACAGTCTCTATTTCCTAAGATATGCTTACACGTATAAATCCCAAGGTCTCTCTTGGTTGGGTCTTCATTATTGAACTGTATGTGAAGTCATACATGGCACAAACTCACCCCCTTTCCTATACTACCATGTTCTGTGTCTTTCCAATATTTCCTTGCAGTTTTCCAGTCATTCATAGACCTGTATTTGTCTTACACAAGAAGCATGTCAGCTTAAAGTTTAACACCAATGAGTTAGTTTGTCCAACTGTTTATGAGTTTAATATTTCATTTTAGGTCTTTTACATTTTATATTAATATTTCAGGCCTTTTACATTTTTATATTCTAATTTGGATCTGGCTAAGCTTTAAAAGCCTAATTTAAAGATGACCTATATTTAAAATGCTCAGCTTTATGTTTCAAAACTATCATAAAATACAGAAATCTTAAAGCATGATAGGTCATCATTGGTTAAACAGATCTCAAAGGATCTATGAAAGAACTAAGTCACTCACAAAACAAATCAGAGGGAACTCATTGGAAGGAAAGTTAGTAAAATGTGAAGAAAAGGTTAGTGTAAGAGACTTTTTACTACCTACTTTGTAGCTCCTAAATTATGTCACCAATAGACATAAGTACTGTCCTGAGGGTCTTTGCGCCCTAGACATGTCTTCTACAACTTCCCTTGAGGCACATGTTGTAGTCAGGCGGAGGAAGCCATTGCTCATGCTCATGGGAGCAGCAACTGCCTCCAACACCTTCCTTCCCACCAAGGAAGGGCTCCGACACTCACAGGCTTTATGAAAACACGTTAACTGCTTTATGAATGGGATACTAGAAGTTTACTTCCATCTCACTTCAAAAGCACTACTGACAGGGCCAGCCCCATTATGGTGCAGTGTGTTAATCCACTACCTGTGGCATCCTTTATGAGCACCGGTTAGAGTCCTGGCTGCCTACCTTTTGATCCAACTCCTTATTAATGTGCTGGAGAAAGGAATGGAAGATGGTCCTAGAGCTTGGCATCCTGCACTCATATGGTAGACCTGGATAGATTTCCAGGCTCCTCATTTGTCCTGGCCCTGCCAGGGATACCATGGCCATTTGGTCAGAAAAAACCAGCAGATGGCAGATTTCTCTCTACAGCTCAGCCTTTCAAATAAATAAGTCTTTTCAAAACAAAGTGTAATTGGTAGATATTGTAAACCTAGACTTGAGAACACATTATATGAATTCTTCATTGAAAAATCGAAAAGCTAAAATATCAACCACATGATTTAACAGTGCCTTCCAGGGCTATACAGATGGCTTACAAGAATTAGAGAAGTGTAAAACAACTGAGGCTAATCTCTTTTTAAAAGATTTAGAGACACAGATGGATGGAGGAAGGAGTGGGAAGGAAGACAGAGAGAGAGATATTTTTCCATTACTGGTTCATTCCCCAAATGCTCACAACAATTAGGGACGGCACAGGCTAAAGCCAAGAGCTAAAACCTCCATCCTCCTCTCCCTCAAGGGTGGCAGAGGCCCAAGCATTTGGGTCATTATCTGTTTCCTTCTGAGGTGCATTAGCAGGAAGTTGGATAGGAAGAAGAGTAACAGGGACTTCAACCTGCAGTCCAATACGAGATATCAGTGTTGCAAGTAACAGATCAACTTGCTGTACTGCAACTCCAACCCCTGAGGTTAGTTACTCTTCCATGTTCTGATTGGATTTAGTTAAACACACCTGAGATAAAAATCAACCTTATTTTAAAATTGGGTAAAACAAGATTTTTACAATAATCTGGGTAAACGTTTTCAATGCTTAATACCTTTTAATATCAAAACTCCTTTTTCCTAAAGTAAAGGTTAATGCTCTTACTGTTGCAAGTTCAATAACACGCATTTTTTTTTTTGTGACAGGTAAGACAATCTAGTTTAAGAAACTTTGTCATAAACATTTTGTGATTCCTATCACTACAAATCTTAACATATTCTGAAAAACTTGCCTCTGCCAGTTGAAAGAGTGCAGACTTTCCACAGCGTTTTACAGGCTCAGCACCACCCAGTTGCGAAGTATTTGAAGAAATCTATATTGAGAACAATAAAGAGTATTAGTGGTACTAGAATCTTTGATTCTCATTCATATGCATTCAAGAACTTTCTTTAGCTTATCCTCAGAATACCATGTCATGCTTTGATGACCAGTTTGAAAACAATTCTTGGCAAACAACCTCAAAAATAATTAAAAAAAAAACAGTAAGATTTCAGTAGCTAATTCAGGTACTATTTTGCACTGGCCAGGATTTATATTTAACACTACAAAATCTTAAGCCAAGACATGCATTTCCATTTCTAAAGACTAACGGAACTGGCCAAACACAAAAGGTTTAGAATCATCTTGTATTTCCCGATTTTCATTTTCAATTTCAGGAACATACTTGGTATCTCCATGGAAGACACTATCATCAGCATCAAGCTGCAATATGACAGGAACTTGGGAAGCTGAGTTATATATAAAAGATTGATTCTATCTTTGAGAGTAAGCCCTAAAGTACATGCAAAAACCAACAAGACAACATGTTAAAACTTTACAGTCAAGAAACTACATTATATCATGAATCAACATATAACATGATATTAACCGCTACTTTTATATATTTTGGCTGAACAATGGCTGGACATTGATAAACAGGACTGGTACTACGGTTTCTAAGTTTTAGACAGAAATTTCATTTTCAGTATCTAGCCTTGATAAGAGATGAGAAGGATATTCAGTCTTAAGGATACTTAGAAATCATTTATCCCACAGAGATTCTGTGATCTTTAGCATCACTAGCTATTTGAAGCTTTTTTATTCTTTGATTCTGCATTATTTCTCAGTTTAAGACAGAACTATTTCCCAATTCCACTTTAGAGGCATCCCTGCCTTGCAACCCCTCCCTTACAGGTGGTTGCAGGTTCCATGGGATTCTACAGAACTGTCAGCCCGAAGAGAGTAGGTGCTAGCAGCTATAGGGAATTTGTCCTAGAACAATTGTTTAATAAGAGGCCTTTGTAGACATATATGTTTAGTAGGACTGTTCAGTCCTTTAAAAAGGGTCCAGTGTAACCACTTTTTGAGGACTCCTTTCTCCTGGGTGCTATTGATTTTAACACAGTCCTTTCCTATCCATTACAATCATCTACTTTTTCTTGAGGAGATAAACTGACAGGGCTCAATCTTCCTGAAGTTTGCAATATTTTCCTCTAGCCAAATTTTCACTGATAAATGCCACTTCTACCTTTCTAGACAAGCTGAATTCAATTACTCACCTTATCTCTAGTCTAAGAGAAAGCACATTAATATCACCAACTTAGAGATTTAAGGGATTGAGGGACTGAACATAAATGCCAGTCTCCTGAACCACGGTTGTATAATAGAAAGGACTTGGCCTCTGTGCCAACAGACATGGTTTCATTACTAACTGTTGTGTGTGTGGACTTAAACCAATAAAACTGAATGCCATTTACTTCACCTTTAAAATAGAAACAATAATTATCTGTCCCATATTACACTGTGAAGATTAGATAGGATGTGAGTGCATGGCACAGGACTGAGGCCACACTTTGCTCCCAACAGATGTTAATGCGATACTATACACATGTAAAATTAATGAGTTTTTCATTTTTTACACTAATAAAACCTCTTAGTATAATTCAAAAATGAATTACACCCTGAAATTGATTGGAATTTAAAGCTGCATTGTCTGAGGAGACTTATTAAATCTATTAATTCATAAAATATTAATGTCACCCAATTAAGAATTACCAAAGGACAACAAGTTGAGCAGACCTGCACTTCACAGCCCTGGTGTGTTTTGTAGTTCTTTTCCTTGCTCTCTGCTGTTGCTTTCATAGCTTTTTTGGTTCCTGACTCTGTCTCCATATATCCTGAGCCTCATGCAGAACATGGCACACAGAGGTTCATGGAAAAATCACCGACTGCATGGATGCAGTGTCTGGGCTCTGAGCACAGCGGTCTGAGTAGGTGATTGGGAAGGATTTCTTGCGTTTCAGGATTCACACAGGCTTAATGAGAACAACTTTCCTCACTGCTTCTGGGAGTGTTTTTGCGTAGTTTTAGGTAGAGGGTAATATTTTAAATGCTCTTGGTTACTAGAAGCCTGATTTCCAATAAGGCATGTGTGCATGAATGTGAGGGAAGAGGGAGAGGGTGGAATTTTAACATAGTACAGAAGTTTAACACTTCCAGAATCTTCTAATAATAAAAATCTCATGGAATGATTTAGTGGTGACACACACTTTCTAAAAATGTCTTTTGACTTCTTAATTGGGAATGGAAAGTTAGATACATGTTAATTACAATGACTTGTTATCTAAATTTCTTAGCAGAATATGACCCTGATAATCTTTCTCTGGAGAATATTCTTCTTGAGATCTTATCAGCAGCGTCTTCCTTTCTTCCTGCTTTTCAGGCCATGCTTTGCTGCAGTTAGTCCTTGAGTCAGGGGTTGGGGATCCTGCCCACTGGCTTTTTAAGGCTCACGAAATCTTTCCGACTGATGGTGCCACAGTAACTACAGGCAGGACTGCAAATTCAATCAGTCTACAGCAGGCTAAATTTTAAGTTAATAATTGTGTTTGGCCTATGAATGATATAAACATCCAAGTGGCTCTTGGCAGAAAAATGGTTCCCCACCCAACCCTGCCCTGAATGCCATTTCTCCTCCTCAAGGTTTTGTCTTCGGCTCTCTATTTATTTATACATTTTCTCTCAGCAATCTCACCTGTAATGATGGATTCAAGGTCAAATATAGCTCATCTAGTGCTGATCTGTTTTTTCACTGCTCAATCCTATCTACACTTTTCTAATTGAGAGACATGTATACCATTCATTCAACTAAAGCAATAAAAAACTTGGCTATGGAGGGAAGTTGATGTTTGCTATGTTGGTGAGTGGGGGCCACACTGCATAATATATTTGTGGCTGTACTTTTTATTTTCCTGAAACTGGATGACACTTGCTAACCTGTTAACTTTCTGGTAGTCTCCTTTTGGGGGGGGAGGGAGCAATGAAAGGGAGGGGAGCTATTACATAACATTTAGATAAACAGTGTTCATCCATAAAGGCTAGCACAATCGTACAAGAGTAGGATTGTGCAACTGTACAGCAGTACAACAGTACAGCAAAAGTGCTAAGAAAAATCATCAACCTGGACTTTAAATGATTAATTTTATGGTTGCTTGAGCATACCAAATAAATAGATAGTAAAGACCAGAATCAAATTAGGTAATGGTGGAAGTCTTTCATAATTATGATGGGTATCATAAATACTATAGCCTGAAAAAAATTATAATTGTTGAATGAATAAATGAATCAAAGAAGAAACGAACAATATGAGGACAACAGGTTTTCTGTACAATGAAATATGAATGATTCTAATAAAAGGCATAATGCATTCACTGATTAGTTGCAGTAAAAATGTACAGTGTTCATAAAGAGGGTAATAACCTGTAACATATTGAGCATTCCATCATGAAAATGAATGCTTTAAATTTGTACCTATTGTTCAAATCCAAAATGACAATATCTTAAATTTGGTAAGATTATTGTTGTATTTAAATTGGCAAAGAATCTTCCCCAAGGGAAGTTTTAATGTCTAAATAACTTAGCTCTATATGTCTTCAAGATAATTAATGTAATTTTTAATACCCTACAGCAAAGAAGAGCATGTGAGGAAGGCAGTAACTCCCTCATGGCATCATAGTTGGTCATTAACTTTCAGTAAACCAGAACTAAAAACTAACTGATAAGTCACCCTACCTGTAAATAATGAAAGACAGATTAAAAATTCATTCTGACCACCTTAATGAATCAGAATCTGGAAACATAGTGACGGCACTTCAATGAGCCACGTTCAATGTGGATGAGATGGGTGTTAACACGGACTGGAAGATGGGTTGAAGGGGGTGGAACACAATGTTGGACACTTCTGTACTTCATTTCTAGATCCTATGAAGCACCTACACTAAATTTTTTTCTTAAATATAGTCATTCATAAGGAACCTATACACATAATAGACTTTGGCATGTTTCATGATTCTATGTAAGTTAACTTCAGTGGGCTTTAAAACGATCAGATATTAAGAAGCAAAAATATCCTCAGCTTCCAAGGCAGAGACTCAGAACTTGCTGTGAAGAAACAAATTACATTTTCATCTTAAAGAGACACTCACGGCTTATTGTTTATTAAGCAGTATTGCCCAGATAAATGTTTACACAATAAATGACCAATTCCAGGAGATCTAGCTAAATATCTTCGAGAGTTACAAGAGTCTATAAATAAAATTATAGTAGGAATACCTAATAAAAATTTTGCAAGCTTGATCACAAAACCAAACACTTTGAAAGAGTACATTGTTTCCTATAATAAGTAAACAGGTGCTTATCTCTAAGTAAGTAATTGTCGAATGGGGTCTGATCCTTTTTTAAAAGGGCTGAGGGCACTGAATGACCACTGGGCCCTTTTCCTAAATCACAAACTCTGAGACAGACACACAACTGTCTGTGTTTGACAAACATATCTTCTAGATCTGGTGTTTTAAGATCTGAGAATTTCAGCTAGATAATTAGGATGAAAATTTCAAGTCTTTGAATTTCCTCAACGGTGATGGTGTTGTATGAAACAATTATTAAGAGCTTTGGGAACATCATCATGGTTAGTAATTATAGCCTGTTCTATTTCTATTGCAATATCTATGTTCATAGCATATCTTATTAGATCACCTAGTTAGTTCTTGTTTAGCTTTTTTAAACAAACCAGCCCACAATTAATTAGGCTGACAATATGGTAAGATCATAAGATGTTAGGGACTGAACTTAAGGTTCTCTTGTGTCAGATGAGAAAAATTAGAACCACGAACTCTTGTATAAACACATGTGAGCATTACATTTAGAAATAGATAACCAAGGATGTAATAATTTGGTTAATTTGCTAAGAAATTAAAAGGGCTTATATTATTAACATCTGCAAAAATATAGCTAGAAAATATACAACATTGAGTTGGGGAGGAGTTGCACTTGATTGTAGGGCAACATAAAAATTATATATTTTACATCATTCATTTTATTTTAGATTTCCACGATGCATGCTCTTGTACATAGCAATACTTCGAAATGTAGTAAGTTTTCAAATTATGATTGCTTTCTTAAATCCTATATACACTTCCTGATAAAAAATAAAAAAGCCCTCAGTGACAAGTGCTGCTGTGCACAGTAACAGATGAAAATATCTCCTGCAGGATTCTCTTACAAGTTGCAAGTGCCTTGCTTCAAGCAAAAGCTTAAGAAAAGTGAGAGGCAGGGGACGATTCTTCTGATACTTGGTGAGGTGAAGTCCTGTGCAGTAAGAATGTACTAGTGTGGAAGCTGAGGACCTCCTGCTGCAGCTTTGCAGAACAGTAGCTGCCCCATCGCCCTGCCGCTCCACTGTCAAACTGTTCCCTCCAGGTTGCCTCAGGGCTGTGGGAGCCCAGATGATTCTGATGATGGCATTGCTTAAGTAACATTTAATCAGGCTCCATGATGATAACTGTTAGAAACGCACCAACCCTCGCTGAGCTACTTCACGTGGGCATTTTACATTAGGTTGAATGCTCTTAGCAGTTAATACATACGTAAATATCAGGTGTGTCAAAGATGAGCCTCTGCTTTTTCTAATATTCATGCTACAGAGTGCAGAATTTAATCAAACAGAAGATATGGTAAGTAAATTCTGCTCTGAATGAAATGCTTCCGAAAAGATGGATGGGATTCGCTCACATACTAACATTAAAAAATACATTTAGGGTTCAGTGTGGTAGCCTAGTGGCTAAAATCCTCTTTTTGTATGCGCTGGGATCCCATAGGGGCACCAGTTGGTATCCTAGCCATTCCACTCCCCTTCCAGCTCCCTGCTTATGGCCTGAAAAAGCTGACTAGGATGGCCCAAGGCCTTGGGACCCTGCACTCGCACGGGAGACCTGGAAGAGGCTCCTGGCTCCTGGCTTTGGATCAGCTTAGCTCCAACCATTGTAGCCATTTGGGGAGGGAATTAGCAGATGGAAGATCTTTCTCTCTGTATCTCCTTCTCTCTGTAAATATGCCTTTCCAATAAAAATATATAAGTCATACAAATAAATAAATAAAAATAAATTGTTACCATGCCAAAACTTTCAGAAAAAAAGCACTAGCATCAAATAAATGTCAACAACTGGAGAAAAGTAAGAACATATTATTCAACAAAATCATTTCCCTAGATGGTGAAAATAGCAACCTATTTATCAGAATGGAAAATTATAATAAAATCTTAATTTATTCAGACTCATCAAGTAAATTGTTCTTCTTGAAATAACGTTCTGTGTATTTGTTACCAGTTTTCTACAGTAGCCTTTAAGCAGCTAAGCAAAACCTGTGGCAAAGAAGCGTAACATGCAGGAAATCAAACTGGATGGGATAAAATCTCTGGTTCACACAACTGCTCCAAGAGGAAGCAGTGTATTTTTTTTTTAATGTTAGAACTCAAAGTAATTTTTCTCCCTTTCAAAGTAAGATGCTAGGTTTTCTCCTGCCAAAAGCGTATCATTTTACATTTCATTTATGCAGGGCTCTTTATGCAAATGAATCAAAGTGATTCAATATATCAATATTAAACAGAGCAGCCCAGCTTGTCTTTTTCTCTCAATTTGAGAAGAAACTGTTTAGTTTATGATATGCACTATTTTCAGAATTAATTAAATGAGAAAACGGAAAAAAAACCTAAAGTAGACAGCACCTTACTTTCTGTTTTCACTTTGTTTAGTCATATAGTGCTTATTAGAAACGAGCATATGGTTGAGGCCAGGGCTTCTGTGGCAAAACCAAGCATATTAGATTTGCTTTCCCATCAGACCAAGAAAATAATCTCTTATATGCATGCTCCCTGCCTGACAATCCAAAGAAATCTGGGATCTCGCAAAAGCTGACCTAATCTAAGCCTGGGATTGGATACAGAAAACACCAATTGAACCTACATCACATCAAGAGCTTAATGTAGATAATTTAACAGGTCAAATTCAACACTGTATCGGCTATGACTCATGAATCTAATTTCACTATTAGAAAAACTTAATTGGAATCCTCTTGCTTTCATATTGACAGCAGGCTTTCCAAGTTTTTTTAAAAAATGAAAAGCAAGGTAAATCAAAATGAATTACCAGTGAGTACCCATCCTGAATGAACTCTTTAATATATGGTGGAAAAATGTATATAAAATCTGGAGCTAAGCTGACAAGATTACATCAAAGGTAGCAATAGGCAACAATTATTGTCATGAATGTTATGTTAGTAATGACAAGAGGAATGTCTAACTTCAAGGCATATTATAAAAGCTGTAATTCAAAGTTTTCTGAATTGCATAATTGCACCACAACCCAGAATAAGGTGGCCATACCTCTGCAAACTGAAACAAAGCTGATGTTTGACACTGTTTTGTAGCAGCATCAGGATGGGATGTATTTGAAGATATCTGAAAGGAAACAAAATAATTTTTAATATACAAGGAAATTTTCCCCGTATCAGACTATGAGAGTCTGCCATATGTTTTCACTGTAGACACTGATAAAGACATGAGTCATCAACCTCAATCTTTTAGAGTAGCACTGAAATGATAAAGAAAGACAGATGCCATGTATAAAAATGGATGACTGGCTGGAACAAAAAGGCAGAGCTGGGCTTGTTTGCTCTGTCCTCTGAGTATCAGGGATGTATCAAACCACAGTAAGAGAGATCTGCTGACATGAATTTCCTTATTTCAATGATTTCTTTTTTTAAATTGAATGCCAGAGGCTGCATGTCAAGCCAGTTACTCTCTCCCCTATACCACTCTGCTCAAGCTCTTTACTACTTAGAAACAGCTGGGAAACACTGAGAGAAGCACATGGATGTAGGTCAGCATATCTGAGGCTGAATCTGAGCCGTGCCACTTACTAGCTACAGCAACTTGGACATCAGCTATACTTTCTGAGATGTACTTTTTCCAACTTTAAATTGATGATAATCCTCATTATTAAGGATTATGGGTCCAGCACAGTTGCTCAACTGGCTAATCCTCTGCCTTGTACGTGCCGGGATACCATACAGGACTGATTCATGTCCCAGCTGTTCCACTTCCCATCTAGCTCTCCTGCTTATGGCCTGGGAAAGTAGCAGACAGCCAAAACCATGGGATCCTGCACCCACGTGGGAGAACTGGAAGAAGCTCCTGGCTCCTGGCTTCGGATGAGTTCAGCTCTGGCTGCTGCGTCCATGTGGAAAGTGAATCAGCAGATAGAAGACCTTTCTATAAATCTATCTTTCCAACAGAAATTAGTAGAAATAAATATTTTAAAAAACAAAAACAATTTTCTTTTTAAATATTACATGCCCCACTTAATAAAAACACAAACACAATTCAGTGTCTGACAACTGGATAGAAGATTTAGCCATTCACAACATTCGACCAAATTAGGGGCGGGGGATTGTTTCCAGGTTGATAGTGGTGGTGGTCTCATTCAAACTTTTCTCCCTGGGTTATGTGCAAATACTTTACAAGGATGTTTTAAGAGTATGGTTGGCTTTTAATTTTGGTGCCAAAGGAAACAAAGTGTCCATGCAGCTACAAAACAAGGTGACAATGAGGTACAACAGACAAAAGCCTGAGTATCATAACTTTAGCTCACTCCTAGAGTTTTACAAGTTTTTTTTCAAATCATGTGGTCATCAACTCCATCAAAGGGTATGTACTACATAACTGATGCACCTAAGCCATGACTCTTCAATAATAGAAATCACTTTTCCATCTGAACTATAGTAAGTTGGTTAGAAAAGTCATGAAGCCTTGTGATACTGTTCCAAACTGATGTCGAGGGAGGAAAAGAGTAGGGAGAACGAACAACTTCTTCATTGCCAAAAGCATTAGGAATTTTTGAAATTCTGATTTATCCTTTTGAATAAATATTTTTAGAGTGAGCTAACAATGAGTAGAAAAAGATTGGGCCTAGTGTGATGGTTCAATTGGCTAATCTTCTGTCTTGCAAACGCCAGGATTCCTTAGAGGTACTGGCCGCTCTGCTTCCCATCCAACTTCCTGCTTGTGGCCTGGGAAAGCAGCACAGAATGGTACAAAGCCCTGGGACTCTGCACCCAAGAAGGAGATCCAGTAGAAGCTCCTGGCTCCTGGCTTTGGTTTCGCTTAGCTCCAGCTGTTGCAGCTATTTGGGAAAGTGAACCAGTAGATGAAAATGTTTCTGTCTCCCCACTAAAATAGTGAATAAGTATTAAAAAGAAACACACAAACAAACAAAAACAGAACCTATTTAACAAACAATATAAAAACAGCCAATAGTAAATGGATAAAATGCAACCAAGTGTTCTAAAGAAATTCAAATAACATCAGACCAGCAAGCACAAGTGTGACAGGCTGCAAAAATGAAACTACAATTATTTTCCCAAAATCTTGAACATTTCCAATTCAGTAGATCTCAATTCTGATATTACCTTTCATTCCTACCAACCTTCTATAACATTTAAAGAAAATAAACCATATATGAAAGACAAAATTATTTTATTTATTTATTATTCAAAAGGAAGACAGAGGAAAAAAGAGAAAGAAAAGAGATAATCTTAGATCTGCCAGTTTAATACTTGCAGGAGCCGGAGCTAGGGCTGGACCAAAAGTCAATAATCAGGAACTCTACCCAGGGCTCCTACATGGCTGGCAGGAACCCAAGTATGTGCACCATCCTCCACTGCTCGCCAGGTGCATAGCAGGAAAGTAAGTCAGAAGTAGAGACCAGACTCAATCATAGGCACTTCCTTAAGGGACTCAGACATGCCAAGAGGTGGCTTAAACCACTGCACCACATTAACCAATATGCCCAAATTTCTTCAAAAATAAAAGGAAATACTGGATAAAATGGAACCTGTGATACATTATTCTATGCTCATTTTCCCTAAGAGGATTTTGAAAGTTTTAAACAAATACATACTCTTAAAATTAATCACAGAATAAATGAAGATTTCAACTAATAACAGCAGAAATTCCTGGAGAAATATTACATTCAGGGCCTTTTACCTAAAATCAATCTATCAATCTATCGATCTATCGATCTATCTATCATGATGATCTCTTTGGAATTTCAGAAATTCTGGAAAGGCCATAAAATGTACATGTGCTATATTACCAAAGTTTCATGTAAAATGTTAGAAGCTTTATCACATGTTTAGGGGCTGTGGCATCAGTGGTGAGGTTTCAGTGTACTGATATTTGCTATGCTGGAACAATAAATTTCTATAAACAGATACTGCTGATCCTTATTTAAGAACTCAGGAGTTTCAAAATTATCTTTTCCAAAATTTCCCTGTGTCCATGTTCATATGGATTGAGTAGTCTTTCTTAGTGATTTTAAGTACTATTTTCAGTACAAATTTAAGAGCAATTATAATTTCCTCAGTGACAAATACGAGTTGTGATATATTACCTCAGCAAACTGAAACAACGGTGACTTGTGCCGCAATTCAGGGGACTCTGAAACATCAGCCCTGCCAGTCCCAGAGGATATCTGAAACAAGGAAAGATGTCACGAGGCATCAGAACAGCCTTTGCTGACAAGAGAAAAGACAAATGACACTAAAATGTCGCTATCTTTGGGAAGGAATGGTTGTATTTCTCTTTGAAGTCAACTCAAATTGTGGCAAAAGAAAAAAACAGCTATTTTGCAAGGTTTGGAAGAGATGGACAGCACACACGGTGTAGAGAGGTTAATATTCGCCTAAGACACAGTCACACACGGATTTCCGTTTAAAGAACTGGCTCTCTGCATTTCTTTCACCTTTTGTGCTTCCTCAGTATTTCATGCTGCCTGACTTCCTGAGAAAGTAAGTGAGAGCTGATGATGTAAATCTCTTGGGAGAACAAAGCTGAAGTCAAATTCTTGTTTTCTAGGGTTTTCAGGAGTTCATACACAAGCCTCCATCTTAGGTTAGTTAGTATTTCCTTCACATTTTCTTTGGCAATGCTCTATTATTTTTTTTTTCTATCTTCACTGTTGACAATAGGTATGGAAACACTCCTTTCAAAAATATTTTATCCATCAAGTTTGGGTATACATTCCTCTTTCACTGCATCCACTTCTGCATTTAGGTTGACATCATTTAGGTAGCTAACTAAATCAGGTCACAGCAGTCACAGAATACTGGAGAGATAAGGAGTACACTGTTCCTCTAATACAATCGTTTTCTTTTTAAGACAAAGTCCATCCACCACTGGTTCACAGATGGGTATCTGCAATGGTCAGCTAGGCTAGGCTGAAGCCGGGAGGCAGGAGCTTCAGCCCCATCTCCCAAGTGGGTGGCAGAAGCGCAAACACTTCAGTCATCTTCCATTGCTAAGACCATCTTCCATTGCTTTCCCAGGCACATTAATAAGGAACTGGATTGAAAGTGGAACAGCAGGGACATGGACTAGCACCCATATCGGAAGCAGGTGGTAATTTGGAGATTGAAACCAGAAAAGTAAATGGCACTTCCCCTCCCCAATATGCCATAACCTCCTTCTTCTTTATGTAGCACTCATCAGCACAGTATTTGTTTATTGTACATCTTTACTCCTAGAAAGTTTGCTCAATGCATTATCCCCAACACTGCCTGGATACTATGTAGATACTCAACAATATTTGTAGAATTAGCTAATCTAAATTAAGGTCTTCCAAATCTTACACCAGTGTGTTCCCTCCCTTACTTTCCTGAAAGTTATGGAATCTAGAGCAAGATGTTACCTTTCCTTTAAGGGAAAGTAGTTTTAAACACTTGTTTTTTGACTATGAAATAATACAAGTTTACCTTTAAAAATCTGGAAAAAGAAACAACAAGAATGAATGTTTAATTTAGCAGCTGAGATGCTGCTTCAGATCAACTGGAGACCAAGCCCATACTGGAGTGCCTAAATTCAAGTGTCATTAGAGTTTTCAACTTCAGTTTCTTGGTAATGCAGCAGTTGGTAATCGTGTACTTGAGCTCTGAGCCTCTGTTTTGGCTGAGCTGTCTGTCTCAGCCCAGGCTTTTGTCGACACTTGGGGAGTGAACCAGTGCATGGGAATGCTCTCCTTTCAATCAAAAATAAGTTACAAATGCTGTTTTAATTGGATGAAAGCAAAATTCAGAATGAGTCTTTGAAATGTTCATGGGAAAGGAGAATTAAAAGGTAAATTTATATTGGTGCAAATATTTTTGAAAAATTTTTCAGTGAAAAAATAGGATGCTGTATTATGGTTACAGAATGTTATTTTAAATGTAACAGTGCTTCTGTGTCATTAAATATTTTCCAGTGTAATTTTAAAAGCTGTATGTAATTATTACTGATGGTTAAATCCCAAGGAAAGAGTTGCCAGTCACCCAGATGCTGCTGCTCTAGAGTTCTCACAGAGCTCTTTATTTTACTTTGGAGGCATGTTTTTAACAGTGTCAAAGGCCATGGGACAGAAGTAAGGATATGAAAATTTAATTGTAACCTCTAGATTTCAGAGAGTACTGGCCACATTCTCCCAGTAGTAAGCCTCACTGAGAAGGTGCAGAATCTTTAATTTGGAACCCGTGCTTTGGCTGCCAAGCCAGCTTTCCTATTATTGTCCCTAACTCGTTAAAAAGTCAACACTTTCTTGGCTTATGAACAGATCTTTCCTGGCTCCTAGATATTTAAGAAAATAATAGAAATGGGCACTGTGATGTGGCAGATTAACCCACCACTTGTGATGCTGGCATCCCATATGGCTGCTCTACTTTCAATTCAGCTTTCTGCTAACGCACCTGGAAAAGCAGTAGAAAATGGTTCAGGTACTTAGACCCCTGAACCCATGTTGAATATCCAGAAGAAGCTCCAGTTTTCAGGCTGCAGCGTGGCCCAGCTTCAACTGTTGTGGCCATTTGGGGAGTAAAAGAACATATAAAAGATCTTTCTCTCTCATCCTCTCTAATTCTGCGTTTCAAATAAATAAGTAGATCTTTAAACAATTTTGATTTAAAATCCAGTTTAAAACTGTTTTTATAAAACTTTAATAGAATAGTATAGAAGACAGAAAATTTTTCAAGATCATTGGAATGAAATACATTACCAATTTCGATAGCTACACTTCATGAAGTCTATCTAGCTTATATTCTTATTTCAGATCCATAATTTATAAGAAACAGTTACTGTTTATGAAGAGGTAAGTTACTCAAAAGCTTGGAATTCACATTAACTCTAAAAAGAAAATTTAACTTTCTAAGTGTGATTTACAGATTATTTGGTGACAACAACAAGCTTAAATGATAAATGATAAACTTCGGAAGTTTCTAGGATGATCACAAATAAACCTTCCCATTTGAGTGCAGATTCAGAAGTATATAATTAGTTAAGGCCATCTCTAATCCTGCATATGTTATGTGCACTATACTATGCAATCAAAGAAATCTAGGCACGTGTGTTCACCATGAACTTGACACACACAGCGGATGCATAATGATTATTCACTGACTGACCTGATTTTCTGTGAGTATGCGAATAAGAACTGCCAATAACTCAACTAGGAAGTGCAGCAAAGGCTGTCCAATGGCTAAAGCAATAATAGAATGTATTTACTCTGGTAGGCCATGACCTCTCTCAATATACAGTTAGTTTTAATTAAAAACACTGTGGGGCCCAGCGTGATAGCATAGCGGTTAAAGTCCTCACCTCGAATGCACTGGGATCCCATATGGGCGCCAGTTCTAATCCCAGCGGCTCTACTTCCTATCCAGCTCCCTGCTTGTGGCCTGGGAAAGCAGTCGAGGATGGCCCAAAGCTTTGGGACCCTGCACCCATATGGGAGAGCTGGAAGATTAGCTCAGCTCCAGCCATTGCTTTCTCTCTGTCTCTCCTCTGTATATCTGCCTTTCCAATAAAAATAAATGAATCTTTAAAAAAAAGTAAATAAAAATAAAAACACTGTGGATCTGACAAACATCTTCAGTGTAGTGTAACAGAAACTAAAAAAAAAAAAGAACCGGAAGAACCAGGTGTGCTATGCCATTACCTGACTTATTTCCTTGGTTCTGTAATGCCCAGAGGACTAGAAGTAGCCAATCAGGAGGGGCAAGAGTGGTAACAAGCAAAAGGAAGATTGTGAAAGTTAGAAACAATGCCTGCAGCAGGTTGAAATTGTGAAAGAATACAGAAAAAAAATGTAAAGGACAGATGCATATATTTCATAAAGCACTGGGTCTATGCAAAATACATTACAAGTAGCACCAAAAAACACAAGGTTTCTCCTAAAGGCCTCTATTCATCAGAGTAATTAATGTTCATAGCTTTGATTGCAAGTTGGCAAGAATAAGTAAAAATAAAGCAAATTCTTTGTTAAGAAGACAAAAATTGGGGCCTGATGCAATGGCTCAGTGGTTAAATCCCCACTTTGCAAGCATTGGGATCCTATATAGGCACTGGTTTGTGCCCCAGCCAGCTCCCTGCCTGTGGCCTGGAAAAGCAGTAAATGATGTCCCAAGGCCTTGGGACCAGGCACACCCATGTGAGAGATCCAGAAGATGTCTGGATGGCTCCTTGCTTTGGATCAGCTCAGCTCTGGCTCAGCTCTGGCCATTGTGGCCACCCAGGAAATGAACCAATAAACTAAAGATCTTACTGTTTCTCTTCTCTGTAAATCTGTCCTTCCGTTAAAATTAATAAATATTTTCTTAAAAAGACAAAAATGGTTGTGATATAAGTTATGTATATATATGTGTGTATATATATATTTCTAGGCATAAATCTCAAAATATAAGAATGGTTCAATGCCATGGCACATATCTATATATACACATATAGACACACACAGTCACACGCATATATATGTGATAAACCACACAGTAAAAGTAGATATATTGGTGTAAACACTGATAAACATACATGGCTTGAAAGAAACCTAGAATTCTATTCATATGAAAGAGGATATTTCCTATAAAAGGCTAACTGAATAATGCCATTTGTCATAGAGTCCCCAACTTTCTGAAATGTTTAAAATATGATTATGTTTAAAATATGACTGTTTAAAATATGGGACTGGGGGGAGGGTTAGGGAAGGGGTAGGGGGAATCCAGTGCCTGGAAAATGGTGTCACATAATGCAGTGTAATAAAAAAAAATATGGGACTATACTATGTCACCTTGCTGGTTTTATTTTGAAAACTTTAAACCACTTTTATTGGATGGGGTATGCTCTTTTGGATAAGTACCACTTCCTCAACATTCATTCTTATTGCTAGGGTCAGTTTATTTTCTAAATATAATGGGACATAAAGAATCAAAGACATCTGTTTACTTATTTGGAGGAAAAAGACACCTATGAAGTAGTGGTTGAATAAAAGCAGAAAAATCAAAGAAGCTGTTTCTAGAAACAGACTGAATTAATCTGTAGAGCCACTAGGTGTTGCTCTACACCCAAAAAAAGAAAACAGCTAAAGGTTTTTTTTTTTCCCTTAATCATGTGGTCTACTTCCCTTATGTTCAACATTTCCTTCAATTTAGCTATGATTCTCAATATCCACAGAAGGGG